CGTCGGCGCTTCTGCTGTTACTACTGTCGGTACTTCGTCCCCGTTTCTGTACGACGGCGGGCTGCTTCTTGCGTCGACTCTTGGGCATGGGCGGCGGCGATAAGACCACACCCTGTTCACCTTGGCGATGTCGTTATCGATTTTTTGTTTGGCTCACCTTGGCGATGTCGTTATCGATTTTTTGTTCTCGAGGCGAGCCGCGCCACGTCCTTCCGCAGTACCTCGAATTCCTCGTCTCATTCAAGTGCCATGCCCCGCTTCTTGTCGGCACGCATCGCCGCCAACTCCGCCTCCATGAGCCGCCGTCGTTCCTCCAGTTTCATGAGGTAGGTTTCCACCTTGGCCCAGAGAGCTTTGGCCAGCTCTAGCTCGACCGCCTCTTCCGTCTCCGCCTTGGCCCATTCATTTGCTAACCATATCGTCTCCTCTGCTTGCCGCCGAGCCATTTGGTCCTTGTACGCTTGGGTCTTTGGGGCATGCAAAGCCTTCAGCTTAGCTTCCACCTGCCACTTCCTCTCTTCCGCGCAGGCCTTGAGGATTTCCTGGCGCTCCGCGTACGTCTTGAGTCGTGTCGCTTCGTCCGACGTCGTCTTTTCAATATCCTAATCGTCCAACCACAAGTCATGGCCCTGTCGCGGTGGGCATGCATGGCGTTTTCAAACTCGCTCAACACCGCCTGGCGACCCCTTCATCCCGGGTGACCCGCCGCTAGTCGTTCGAGGGGCGTGTTTTGGAGCGACCAGCGGCCGACTGCTGTTGTCGTTGCCTGAACGTGGCATGGAACTTTCGTCCCCCGACGAGCAAAGCGGTGGAAGAGACCAACTGCGCACGGGACCGCAAGATGGCTTGTTCTGGCGTTGGCGCGCCATGGTCGAAGTAGACGCCGTCGATGGGGCCGGTGCCGAGGGAGTGGTATCGTCAGAGTCGATGGCAAAGCGCACCGATTTCATTGTCGAGTCGTGATTTCGTTTCTGTTTGCTATGGTATTGACGTTGGGACTTTTGACAGTTGGGACGCCGTCGTGGGGTCTTGACTTGAGGACGGGGTTGAAGCAGCTGCACAGCTACTTGTGTGTAACGGTAGCGAGCTTCACAGAGTAAGTTGGAAAGTGATTAGATTGTCGTCTTAAACTACTTACTACGAAAATGTACACTATAACTACATCAAGTAAATGTTTTTCTCTACGGCTTCTTCAACGGCCTTGCCCGTTAATGGTGCAATAATCTTTAGCTTGTTCGACAGCCTTGCCATTGTTTTGTTAACGGAGCTGTATTCTTGGTCAGCAACCTTGTCATCGTTACATCCTGCCCCGGTTGTCGACTTGGCAGCTTGGATTCTTGAACGCAGGTCTTCAAGCAATCTTTTGAAATGGGAAACATGCGTGTTGCTGCGCTCAAGCTCCCAAGTTGCTTCGTGTTCGGGCAAACCATGCCACTTGACCAAGTACTCTTTCCTCCGATTGAACTGTCGTTACTTCAACAGCGCTTCAACGATGTGCAGTTCATTTCCCGCGTTGTCGAGAATGATAGGAGTTGCTTTAGGTATTTGTCTTCCTTGATATCGTTCTGGGTTTTGAACATGATGCTTCAAGCGATCCACATTGAAGACATCGTGAAGCCTGCTCATGCTTCGTGGCAGCTTCAACCGCATCGCATTGGCGTTCACAACTTCTTGTATCTTGAACGGCCCAATGAATCGTGGCACGAGCCTCGCCTTTTCATTCTTGTTTTTGACTTGAGCATGCTTCAACGGATGTTTCGCGTCGCCAGCGTCACATCTTCGCCTTCCTTGAACTCTACCAACGATCGCTTCTTGTCGTAGTAGTTCTTCCGTCGATCTTGTGCTTTCTCCAGGTTATCAAGTGCCATGAGCACGAGTTCCTTGTGGTGTTCCGCGAAGTTCTCTGCATACTCGTTTAGTGCCTCGATCTCGTTCAGCGCTGGGTTGCGTAACTTTCTTCCCGTATCCACTTCAAATGGTGTTAACCCCGTTGACGCTTGAACTAGGCCTTAATGTGTATATTCGATGGTTCCAAGATGTTCTGACCAGTCGTGACCCAAGTATGAGACTTGACATCTCAAAGCATCTTCGAGGGTCCGATTTTGTCGTTCGGTGGCTCCATCACTTTGCGCTCGACCCGCCGTCGTCATGCAATGCTTGACGCCCATGATCTTCATCAACGCTCGTGACATTCCCAAATTTGAGTGGTTGAGCGTATCCGGATAAATACCCGGATGACCAGCGACACACCAACTTGAATGGCGGCGGACCGCTCGAGCAGTCCTTGCACCACACTCCCTTCGAGGAGGCAGTCCAAAATAACCCCAACCCGTTCCAGGAGCGCAAGTCTAAACGCCCAAAGTTACAGAACGGCAGCCCTCGATCACCGAGGCTTAGCCCGAAGGTCACCAAACGCAAAAACCTACCACCGGCACTCCCGTCCCCAACTGCCGCAACGCGAGGCCCCCATGACACCGGCCCTCCGACTGCCCAACGGACAGTCTTCGGGAGGAAAACGAACCCACGCATACCTTTGCGGACTCCGTCCGCAACCTTCACACCCGCTATCCACCAGTTAAACACCGTGACACTTCATCGGATCCAACTCAACTTGAAGCCCACGCGTACTGCAAGACACCATGTCTTACAGGGATGGCACCGTTTCGCCCACCTACAGCATACGAGACAATGATTCTGGACTCGATCATTCTGGGCCAGCTCACTTTGGATCACCCACCCAACTTTATCAAGCAAATTCTCCCACCCGACGAAATCGCCATCTTTAGTGATCAGATGCGAGTGCACTATGGCTACTTGCAAGTACCACTCAAAGCATCCATGAAGATTTCCCCAGACGTGACAAGCCCAGCGCTTGGACGTCAGTTCTTCCCTGCCAACCCCAAGACCTACACGGCAGCAGTCACGGAATGCGACAAATTCCGCGGAGACTTGCACTCATGTCACATCCACCCTGAAGGACGCAAGCTCATCGTTCTGTTTAACTCAAAAGTCAAAGCAGCCCACTGGCGAGACCGCCTCATCCCCCTCCGTGGCCAACCAACGACTCTCCGTCATTATCGCCGGCCCGAAGACCCTCTCACGGCACTGGATACCGCAGCGACGGAACAAAGCATGGTTTACAGTTTCCGGCTCCTTCATGTGCCTACCAACATCAAAGCCCTTCAGATATGGGAACTCTTGACAGCACTGGACATCGACATCCGCAGCATTGACCAAGCACAAAACCTGGGCAGCGGGGAATCAGATGTCAACAGATTCCTGGTCGTCACTGGGACCCCTCACATCCCTTCCTCCTTGGCTGGTCGAACGCGCATCGCGATCGGCACGGTCAAGGTTGGCATCTACCATTTTCAGGACTCTGGCAATATGCCATATCGCAAATGTGCAGCGTTGGACCATCCAGTTGAACGTTGTAACAACCCTAACGTCCAATCGGCACGAATTATCCTCATGCCCCCTGACATGTGGATCACCCCTAAGAGTTGTGCGGTACACGGCCTTGCGTCCTTCGCCGACTGGCGTCTCAAAGCGCAACCCTTCGTTGCACCTAAAACGATATCCACTCAAACGGCCGCAATGGCAGCCACACATGAAGCCGGATCACAAGCCACCATGGTAGTTGACTATGGTACAGTCACGGAGCGACAGGCTGTTCAAGGATCGACCCAGTCGGATGAAGATCCTTCACCTCACCCATCGGCCCACCCGGTCGAAACCCGCCTGCATCCCACGTCCGACAGTTCATTAGCTAATCAGCAGAGCACCCCCTTGTGGGGTGCTCTGCTGACTACGACCGGCACTCAATATGATACGTTTTCATTGGCCTATAATATGACAACTACAGTACACTTCGAAGTATTGTTGGGTCGCAGAAAACCTCTTTATAATCGATACAATTCTGAGAAGCACCCTCAGGGCTGTTGAGCACTGTTAGTGTAACGTTACAGTAGATACA